ATTTTTCGAAGTCCGGAACCGGGAGATAGAATGTGTAAAGTGAATAATGAATATTTTTTTTTTAATTAAAAAGGGCAAAATTGACTTTTGGGGGGGCGGTAACTATCGAAAAGGGGGCGGTGAATATCAACACCCTAATTTTATTGTGACTATAATGCGGAAAGTAATATTGAAAAAATAATAAAAATATGGGGACTCTTTCACGGTCTGTCGTTAGCTTGGGAGCTGGGCTATCGTAAGATCTAGGTGGAAGTTGATAGTATGAGTGTGGTGACTATGGCCACAGGGACTTCAATGGACAATCTCGGTATTCATGGCGGCCTGGTTCAGGCAATAAGGGAACTTCTTGGTCGAGAGTGGGTGGTTAGTGTGCTTCATTGTTCATGCAATAAGGGAGCTTCTTTGTCCCGATGCACAGGACAAATATATTAAATGAGTTATTTTCACAGCCTTATCCGTTTAAGTCTAAAAAGTAATAATGTTATTATCTATTTTCTGCCTCTTTTAATCAACACTATGTCTAAAAAATTATTAAGCCGCCCTCTGATAAATATGTATAGAGTTATGTGTTCGTGTCTCATAAGTCACAAACATTATGAATAACATTACAAATTATTCATTCAAACTTTTATTTATTGCAAATATATTAAAATAGTTTATATAACAGCCATTAAATACCACTTTCAATATATTTATAAATAAAAAGTACATAAAATTTCTGGTGTGTTCAAATTTAAATAATTATTTATGGGCTCAATTTTAAATCATCCACACGTTTGGTCAAACGCATAGGTGTGTTCAAATTTAAATCATTGGCATTTTGCTCCGTTAAAATTTAAATCATCTACCATGGTACTGCGATGTGTATTATATATATATATATACAAGTTTTTAACAAATAACATGTGCTTTATAAAAATAATAATAATATTTTACAATATTTTAAACGTAAAATCATAGTAAGTCGTATTGAATAGGTGTTATGAGATAAAACAATTAATTAAAATAATTAAATAAAATACTCGATGAAAATAAAATAAATTAATAATCTTTCCCTTTTCTTACTATTAATATTCTAATAATAAATAGAATGATTTTTAATATTCTAATAATAAATAGAATGATTTTTATATAAATATAGATAGATTTTGAAAATCTTGATAATCTGTTGTCAATTTGCCATGTAAATTGTCTTCATTATCGTCGGCCATGGGCATACCCTGAAGCCGAGGTTGCGTCCACATTCATCCCGTGGCTCTGTGGCAGCGAATCCCCGCCCCAATCGGAAAAAAAAAAAAAAAAGGAAATTAAATAGAATCCTAAAATTGATCGAATTCTGAGTGATGAAGGAAGGTTACAAAGTCAGCAGTCAACCAACAGCTGTATGTAAATCTACTCAATAATACTAACACCCACTAGCCTCTCTCTCTCTCTCTCTCTCTCTCTCTCTCCTTCCTTAAAACCCTCCCTTTAATCCCTTTCAGCCCGGCGTTGAAATCTTTTGTAGGTACACGCAGAATTTCAACTTCATCCCTGCAATCAGTTTTCTTTGTTCTTTTCTGGGCTATGGCCAATTACACATTTTTATTTATTTTTTTTCAACAAAATCGGCGCCCCTTTTGTCTTTAATTAATGATTCTTGACTGTTTTTGTTTGCTTTTAAATGTTCTTTTTACTGACTTTGTTACTGGCTATTACTGCTGATTTTCAGAGGTAGAGTTGAAGAACAATGGCGTTTACCATCAAGCAGATGTCTCTGATAGTGGCGACCCTTGGAATTCTGTCCTTTGTGCTTGGGGTGATTGCTGAAAACAAGAAGGTAATATATATCCCTTTTTTTTTAATCTGAATAAAAGTGGGATCTTTTGTCCGGTTACGGGACCATTCCGTCGGGTTTGTAAGCGTTACGGGACCTTAGCGTTTCCCTATATCGTGTGCCCTTCACTACTACTGTTCTCAAACTAACTTTATCGTGATTGAATAGCTGTTACTTAGTTGAATTTCTGATGGCTTGTATCTGGTTATTAAATTTGATCAGTCTATGGTTTTTCAATTGAGAAGAGAAGAAAATTCGGTTAAAGAAATTGTTTTATTGATTGTGAAGAATTGATTTTCTATTGATGATTTGTGCAGTATTTTCATCGGAAATATTGATACAGACATTTCACATATGCGATTTGTGATGATACTTAAGCAAGTCTTTGGTGATGATACTTTAAGCAAGTCTTTTTAGGGAGTGCTGATTGATTATTATGTATATGTGATGTAGTCGCCTCTCATACGGGCAAAATCCCGATACACATTATTAGAACAAAATCACTCTTCAACCGAACCGAAATCTCATTCTTCTAATGGCCTGTTTTTACATTAATCTTTTTTGGGGGTGTATCATATTTGTTCAATTCAAACAGATGACTGAATTATTTCAAAATCTGTAGTATTAATTTTTTATCTGGTGGGACAATTTGACAGCCTTCAAGTGGTATTCCAATAACTGGGAAAGGTGTTGTGATTTGCAAGTACCCGGCCGATCCATCTGTGCCACTGGGATATTTGTCCACCGCCTTTCTGATTGTCTCGGCTGCTGCCGGCTGCTATTCCCTGTTTTACAACTACCAAGGAAAGTCCGTTCCTCGTGCGGCTTTTAACCAAAATAAGGGATTCCTTGTCTTCTCCAGTGTCGCCTTGTAAGTATATACACATATTCATCATCGATGCACATTGACCCATTTTTCTTTTATTCTCTTCTTTCAAGTTTATTGGTTCTTTTAGCCTTTTCTAGTTTATGAGTTGTTGTGATCATTTATCTATTTTGTTCGTATAGGGCCACCTCTCTTTTGGCGCTGGCATTCTTGCTGTGGCCCACGATCCAGGGGCATATCCTCCGCATCAACAACGTGCACCACAATTTGGAGTTCAATTGTGCAACGGCTAAAACGGGTATTCTCGGTGGGGGGGCCTTCCTTTCGCTCGATTCTTGCCTTTTCTGGCTTGTTGCTCTAATGCTGGCCGACAATGTCCGTGCCGACTATTTCGAGGAGTCGGATGAGAAGGTCCCGACCAGCTATGGTACAGCTGAGTCTCTTAAGGCGATTGCTTGAGTTTATAGGAATTAAGTAAGAGGCCATTGGTTAATGTATATATAATATTTTGGTCTCAAGTATTTTTTTTAGCAGATTGTTCTGTCTTGTTTTTTTTTTTTTGGTTTTTCTAAAGGATGGTTGGTGGTGTTACAGACAATTATTATTATCTTGGAAAAGGATGCTTTACTATTTCTCAATAAATTTATCTGAAATTGTCTTCTACTATGATGTCGAGATTTTTTTATTTAAACAAAAAAAATAAAATATAAGTGGACAAAAAAAAAAAAAAGGACTCAGACCAAAATAAAATAGACGTATTATGGTAATACGTTTTACCTTGTAAAATGTACCATAATATGTTTTACATTATAATAATTAAAAAACGTAATTAAGTTAATTAAATGTAATTAAATTTAATTAAAACATAAAATAACAATACGTTTTAAAAGAAAACGTAAAATAAAAATATGTTTTATAAGTAAAATGTATTATTGAAATCCGTTTTATAAATATATTAATCTTAGAATTCTTTAAATTTATTTGTTTTGCAGAAAATATTTTTTTCAAAAACTAAAAAGTATTTTCAAAATATGTTTTGTTTTAAAATTGAATTTTGCCCCAAATCAATTTTGCCATGATTTATGTTTGCCATAAACCACATTCTCAAAATACGTTTTATAAAAAAAAAAAATAAAGCAGAAAACGTATTCTGGGAATACGTTTTACTATGCAGAAAATCAACTGTGCAGGAAAAAAAAAACACACCTGTTTGTCAAAATCGATTCCACAACCACAATATTAATTCCACAAACTAATAATATAAATTCCACAGCCAAAATTCAACCACAATAATTTATTCAAAATACAAATATGTCTAAATTTAATTACACAGATTCAAGACAAAAAAAAAAAAAAAACAAAAAAATTGTCCATAAATTTCCCCTAATAGTTGCTAGGTGTGCATTGATTCGGAGGTTTGTGCTGTCGGGAGCCGATCCGACGCTGTGGTGGTTGTAAAGAAGACGAGACTGTGGGTGTGACAACTTCTTATTCATCTGAATAATTCAATTTTTAAAAAACTCAGAAATTCCACTTGACAAAAAATAAATAAATAAATAATTTAAAATTCATATTGAAGTTAAGTAAAAAATTCTGACCTTCTTCTTCCTCAGTCACGGTGTTGGCAGCGGGTTCGCTGGCACGGCGTCTTCTACCTCCATCAATATTGTCAGCGGGTTGATGCCTCGCCCGGTGCGACTGTGTCGTTTGGGGTCGAACGTAGCTCTCCTGAGATAGAACTTGACTCGACGACATCCCTTACGTGACCACTTGTCCTTCGACAGTCAGTCCACTATAGAGCATGTTTTGGGACTGGGCGATTATGGCCTGCTGCTCTGGAGTGAGCCCACTAAAGTCAAGACTCGATAACAAGTTATAGACCCCCCCCTCCCCCATGGCTTGAGCCTGAAAATTAAATTGAAAATTATTACTATGAAACACAAAAAATAATAATAATAAATAAAAAAAACCACAAATTATGAACACTTACACTGAACATCCCCTGCTCGGCAAGTAGCTGAAAGCCTCCTTCCTGTTGGACCACCGGGTAGTTGCCATGGTTACTGATTATTCTCACAGTCCTATAGTGAAACCAATCAAGGTAACTCGGCTCAAGCTCAAGGAATGACTCAACAGAGTAATGTGGGAGGACATGTTGGTCTCTTTCTTGGACCCAAACATTCCCAAGTGCTCCATTATACTCCACCCAATCATGAAATGCCCTCCCAGTCATTCCCTGGCCTCGATGGTGTGTCTCGTATTTGGTCAAACCCCTAATGATCGGAGGGTCGGGGATCGACTGCCGACACCCGAACTGATGGATGACCCTATCAGGCAGGTGCAGTTCACGATTGTTCCAACAGAAGATCCACCCTCTATACATCCAGAGGCGTGAACCTTCTGTACACTGGGCCGAGAGAGTACCCTCGTCCAGGTGGCGCTTATAGGGCACCAAATCGAACTATAAAAAAAAATTAGGAATTAAGTTATAAAAAAATTAAAAACAAAAAACAAATATAAATAATAATGAATTTGACTTAATAATAATCTTACATCCTTCTCTCCCAGCCCTGTTAATTGATCTCGGATAGCGGCTGTTCCCTTTCCTACGTGTCTCATGTTCCTCCGTCCCACCCACCTTAAAAATCACATAAAAAAACTTTTGTAATCACAAAATTTAATAATTGAAATATTCTAAGTATTAAATATAAATAAATGTGATTACCTTCCTCCTTAGGGACAACCATGGACTCTCTCAAAGTTCGTTTCCTTCATTCTTGGGCGAATACGAGGGATACGTTTCCATGCCCAAACCTACACATATCGACATAAATATTTGGTTATTAGATATTAGTCCAAAGTATAATACAAAAATGAATTTTCAAATAACAAGTAAGTACATTTATTTACTTGAATCAATTGGACACAGTTCTTGATCCAGGTTTCCCCGACATTGGCGCTTGTGCAGAACGCTCTATACACCCCGGCCAGGACAGCTGAACCCTAGCTGTACCGCTTGATCTCATCGATCTCGAGCAAATATTGCAACCAATACAGGTTCACGCCATTGGCCCTGGTCGGGGAAGAAGAAGGAACCGATACACCAAAGTATAAAAGCCCCCGTCCTCTGTTTGTAGTGATGAGGAGGCTCTTCATTTGCTCTATAGCACTCCGTTTCAAACCTCAAGGTCTTCAAAAACTGGCCTTTAATGTCCGAAGTGTTGGGGTTGCGCTCCGGGGCGTCGTCAGCCTTAGAATGTTTTATATATATTCAAAATTAATGAATGGAGTAAACATAAACAAAAAAA